TTCTTTTGACCAATATATTGTCCACATAAGTTAGGACATTTTTACCAATTTGATAATGTAAGACAGTTGAAGTCATTTTGATAAATGTTGTGCCAGCATTGCGGAGCCCCTTTGCCATTGTTTCAAAGCAATATGCCCCAAATGGGGTGATGAAACTTGTGAATTCTTCATCTTCTTTTCTCATCTAGGAACTGAGCATTTCACTTCCGCTGCTTGGTCAACTAATGTGTCATCTAGGTTGAGATCTGTAAAATCAATGCACATTCACCATTTTCCATTCTTTTTCCTTACCATGACAATATTTGCCAGCCATGTTGTAAATTGTACTTCTCTTATGACTTTTGCATCTAACAATCTTTGGACTTCGGCTTTTGCGGCCTGAACTCTATCTTCGGCTAATTTCCTTAACTTCTGCTTTTTAGGCCTGAATTTAGGATCAATGTCTAGCTTGTGCTCAATTATGTCTCTACTAACTCCTCCAAGTCATTAGATGACCAAACGAAGACGTATTTGTTACTATGAAGGAATTCCATGAGTTTATCTTCTTCTTCTTGGGAAAGCCCTATTCCAATGATCACTTGTTTGTCTGGAACTAATGGACCGGGAGGTACTTTCTTTGTTTCTTTGCAAGCTTGTGCTTTTGCTTGTGGCTTCGCATTTTCTATTTCTTCTTTCTCTTCTTATGAGATGACATGGACATTCTTTTGGCCTAGAGTAGACTCTTTTTCAATGTTCCTTGCTTCAGTTTGGTCCTCGTGAACTATGATCACGCCATTTATGGCTGGCATTTTCATGCACAAATATGAGTAGATTATTACAGCTTCGAATGTATTTAAACTTCCTCTTCCAAAAAGTGCATTGTATGGATAATACATGTCAACTACATCAAATTCTATTTGCTCTGTTCTTGAATTGCTCACTGTTCCAAATGAAACTGGTAGTACTATTTGCCTGATTGAGTGAATTCTTTTTCCCACCGAAGCCATAAAGTGGGTGTTCAGCTCTCCCCAGTATTTTGCGATCAATTTTCATGGCATCTAGTGTTGATGTAAATATGATGTCCGTAGAGCTTCCACCATCGACTAAGATCTTTGAGACCGCCCATCCATCAATGTTTGCTTCGATTACCATTGCATCCATGTGTGGGTAATCTTTCAGCTGGAGATCTTCTTTAGAAAATGTGATTGGTAAATGAGACCATCTTGTCTTCTTGTATGGGCCTTCCATTGAAATTGAGTTGACTCTTTGAAAGTAATTTCTTCTTTGGCGGTTACTTTCATGGTCCATGCTATTTCCTCCTGTTATTGTCAATATTCTTCCTCTTCTTGGAATGATTGCATTGTTGTTCACCACTGATGTTGATGGGGAGTTATTTTCTTGCTTGGCTTGGTTGTTTTGTGGATTGTTGTTTGCAACCAAAGCCTCAAGCTGTGCTGATTGAACATTGGATTGTTGAGGCTGATTTTGCCTCCACTGATTTTGCATTGGTTGATACATTGCTATAGGCTCATAACTATATGCAGGTGGTGGTCCTGGGAGCATTGTTTGAGAATGTCCATAGTGTACTGGATAATAAGTTTGATGAGTATTTTGATGTTCTTGCATGATATGATTGACAACTTTTGGCTGGGTTGGTGCCCTGCTTTCTTCTTGGGCTTCTTCGATGCTTTTCTTTCCTTTTGGACACAATTTTGGATGTGTGTCCAGCCCCTTTGCCATGAATGATGCAATACATGTCCTCTGGTTTTAGTGGTGCTCTTCCTCTTCCTCTTCCCCCTCTTGGAGGTCCTCTTGGGCCGAAGCCTCCTTTTTCAAATGTTCTTTCATTGTATTGACTTCGCTAATTGAACTGGCTTTGCTGTGAAAAATCACTTTCAACTATTGAGGTGTTGTCATTCTCAATTTGCTTGACTTGATGGTGTTGTGAAAATGGTCTTCGCTCGTAGTTATTCGGTCTTAGAGGATGAAAGTTGTTGTTGTTTGGCTTAATTTGCGCCCTGAAGTTGTTTTCTTCTTCGAATCTTTTCCTGTAGTCATCATCTCACTTGCAATATTTTTGCATGACTTCGTATAGTTCAACGACCATGTTTGGTCATTCTCGGGCAAAATGTGATGCGCATTGGCCTACTCGAAGCCCCAAGATTGCGGCTATTATTACCACATAATCTAGGGCATTTGGAATTTGCGCTTTGATTTGGATAAATCTTTTGAAGTATTGACTCAGGGCTCTTTGAGTTGTTTGCAATTGAATAAGTCTATAGTTGTAAGACCGGTTGGCTGGAATCCTTGGAAGTCAACAAGAAAATTTGCTTTGAGTTGGTCCCATGAATGTATGGATTTTGCTTTTAGCAAAGAATACCATTGCTAAGCTGGGCCTTTAACTACCATGACGAGCGATTTTGCCAATGTAGTTTCATTGCCGCCCCTAGAAATTACTGCTGTTTCAAAACTAATCAAAAATTGTCTTAGGTCAGATTGACCATCAAATGTTGGTATCATGTTAAACTTGTACCCCAAGGGTCATTGTGTTAGCTGCAAGTTTATTGACAAAGGAGAGCTTGTATCAATTGATGTGAATGATTTTTGTGAGTTTCTTTCTTGTGAAGCTTTGGTTGCTGAATTTGGGTCGTCCACGTTTATGACTTCGTGGCTTGAACTTTGAAGTTGTTAGTTCAGGTTGCGAAGAGTTGCTTCAGCTTCTTCTATTCTTTGCTTGAGAGACTTTTCTCTTGCCTTTGCGCGGCATTCTTCAACCTCTTTTTGCTTCGCTTGTAATTGCTCTTCTAATTCCTTGAGTCTTTGTTCTTTGCCTTCGCTTGCTTTTGAGGAGTTTGGATCTTGAGGTGTATCTTATTCAAGACTTCGATCTTCGCCGATTCTAGGTGGGTCATCTTCCACTACCTCGGTGTTAGTTTTCTTGTTCGGACTGCCCATTGGTTTCTTGTGGTCGTGGGAGTCTTCGAGCACACACAAACGGTAGGCGCCAGATGTTGGGTAAAACAATTACTCAAGCATCAAAGTTGAACACAAGTGTAAGTTGTATTCAATTCATGATCATACTGTACATGTTAGAGGGAGTATATATTTATAGAGGCCCCGACCTTCGTAATCTGTATACAAATGACCATTTTACCCCTTGTCTAAATGAATACAACCCCTTTAAACTACAGGGGCAAAGTTGTCTTTTTTGCTATCTTATTCTTCATTCTTCAGCTTGCTTCATCTGTTGCTTCAAAGTCATCGTCTTTGATCATGTAAGACTTTGTTTAGATTCCTTCTGACTTCACCTGCAGAGCGAAGCTGAAATCTTGTCTTCGCTCTAATTTGCTCTAGACTTCTTCATGTCATCGGCGAAGTCGAATTCTTCTTTGCGAAGTCGAATTGTTGTCTTCACTTATGTTTTCTGCAGGCAAACTTTGTTATGACAGTTACAGATGTGACTCCAAAGTTTCGGGGCTGCATTTTCTGGTGAAGTCAAATCCCCAACAGTGATCTTCATTTGATGTCAACAGTGATCTTCATTTGATGTGTTAATTTCTTGATCTTTACCGTAGCCTACCTCAAGTTCATCTCTTGCATCCATAAGACTAAGTATCTTGTATACTAGCAAACTTTGTTAGTCCTAATGGTTATATTGTCAATTAACCCTCGCTAGGTTCTATGTTTCTTAAAATGCAATGGAATTTGTCAGGTTATTTGCTGAAAGCATATCATACTAGTTTAAGCATCGAGATAAGAAAATGCATGAAAAATTTTCAGTATGTTCTCTAAGGGCACGTTTGGATCTCTAGAATTGGATTGAATTAATCATATTGTCTGAACAGCCTATTTTGGAAACGGCAATTCCATTTAGTTCTAGTGAAGTCCACAACACAGGTTAGATTCCTGGCCTAAAAAAATGGAAAGGTTAATTCCATTCTTTTACTACTACTATACTCGCTTGCTGCCCATCCTGTCCTCCGAAGCAGTGACCTGATCACTCGAGCATGTCTGCTCAAAGATGTTGCAAAGGCATTCCAATTCAAATGACCCAAACATGCGCGCAACATAATTTATGATGCCATCTACGGCTACAAAATTTAAACTTCATACTTAGTTGGTACATGGAGAAACAAAAAGGCTTACAGGCTGGAGGAGTTAAACAAGGTCAAATTTTATGCTACATGAGTCAAGAGGAGAAAGCCAATTATTTGAGATCACTAAAAAAAAACCTCCTTTGGTGCTTGTTGGTATGCAGCCCTACTAAATGTTAAAAAAAGATAACTTTTATCCCCCAAAACCATACACACACACACACCCCACCACCACCCCACCCACCACAACAACAATAACAGGTGTGTTCGCTGCATTTGCAGCCGCAGCCGCAGCCGCAGCAGCTCGCGCTACAGTACCACATATTAGCGGGCTCAACAACACCACCAGCAGCCACCACCGCCCCACACCGAACTTAAAAAATTTGGTATCAGTGAGCTCCTCACATACTTATGTCATATCAGGATTCGGCACTGGACCATACCTTTACCTCATGCTTGAATCTTGCAGCTAAGAAAAACAGTTTTTTCATAGAAGAGGGTGATGGCAATATTGGACCCAGGACAAGAGGCATAAAAAAGCATGTACTGTTATGACAAGTGAAACAGCCATTGACATTGAGCATAATGTGTTTAGATTAAGCAGTTAAACTAGGAAAGATAGCATCAATTGAACACACATCATCATTCATAGCACAATGTAATCATTGAACTCAAAGCATCACTCTAAGCACCAAGCTCATTGAACTCACATTTAGATAACACTGGCAGACTATAGGGTAAGTATTAAAATTGTCCCTACTACATACATGCTGCTTGCGCTATAGAAAATCTTCATTTTGATAACATTCATAATACAAATCTGAATGTGTCACATGCTTCGTATAGTTCAGTGTGGAAATTAATTTCACCACAAATATCAATCAGTAAACTTTCTGTTAAGTCATCTGGCAGTGTGTCACTTTACCTTCAATCAGCCTTTGATTGTTTCAATGACAATTGGGGAAGGTTATACAGAATCAGGCCCATCAGCAATACCACGGCACCAATGATGAAAGACGTACTTAATTCCATGCCATGAGGGATGTAGGGCAAAGGAAGTGAAAGAATATAGATTGATATTGGCACTAAAATTGAAAACAAGCATAATTAGTACCGTATGGTTATATTCCTTCCATTCAGTCTACTCACTGGCATAACAAGAAAGAAGATGAAATGCAGGAGGGGTAATCAAGGGGCAAAAAAAAAAAAGGACCTGCTGATGTTGCTGTAAGGGAAGCCACAAGGGCAGATGACATCTTCACCAAATTGAGGAGTGAGATATTGAATGCCATATTCACCACTATAAACAGCAAAGGCAGGAATGGAGCTCCTCCGCAATCTGTAAGAAAAGTAGCAAGTGAGCAACATACACAAACAGGTTAACCCAAAGCAATAAAGAAAGCATGGCCTAAAATCAGAATGTCAGAAATTTCAGTAGTTCATTAGACTGAAAGTTCCTCGAGATTTCCACAGAAGTCCAAAGAGAAATCTCTCGATTAGAATTCATAAGCATTTATGAGTTGATAGTCAGCTAACAAAATTGCACATATTTACAACAAGAATACATATAAAGTAATTGGAAACGTATAATTCTGTGCAAGAACCATTACCAATTGGACTTTCTGCAACATTTAAGAAGCACTCAGCACCACCATTTAAATAAGCAGGAAGCTCAGCAAACTTAATTCCCCTCAAATTAGAAAGGAGTGGAAGAAGAAGAAAGACAAAAAGAGCCTGAAAAAAAATTACACAGTACACAATATTAAATCCAGGTTTAAAGACATGATAATGCAGTCAAGCATGAACCAAGAAAGTATGTAATAGAACAGCCCAACTCTGTTGAATTTCTAAAATCACCTGAAATCCAGATCCAAATGAATTGACCACAAAGATGTCTGGTCGCTTCCCCTGCACAAAAATATTTTATTTATGAAAATTAGATTATGAGATCATAAATAAATGTGTACCAATGAACAAATAAAAGCACAACGGAGAAAAGATGCCTCAACCTTAAGACATTTTGCACCATCAATGAAAACAGCTTCCTGTAATACGCAATTAACATATTTGAGTTAAGTGTTGACACCAGTAGCAAAAATGAACAATATGAGAGAAAGGAAGTGGCTATACCTTCAGAATAGATGCACCAGCTTGAAATGCTGACGAAGCGATCATCAATGCTGGCCAAATTAACTTGACTTCTGAAAGAAGCTGGCCCTCATTCGCCCCACTAAAAAAGTAAAAAATCTTGTGATGACCAATCAATTAAAATTTGGCAATGTGGTAATAATGACTTAGTACAATAATAGCACAATAATACTTCTCTAGCAAACTAGTAAAATGTTACTGATGTATAGGTGCATGTGTAGCATCCTTTTTCTCCAAACATATATGTTGTGCCACAAGAACCAGAAAAGTAAAGCAGATGTTTCAAATGGTATACCTTGTGTCGACGAAATATAGTCGGCAGTCTACCTAGGGGTATGCCCAAGGTAGTAGATTATCGGCAGACAGGTGCGCAAGCTATGAACAAGATGGTGACGCAAGACAGACACGAGGTTTTATCCAGGTTCGGCCGCCGTGAGGGCGTAATACCTACGTCCTGCGTCTGATTGTATTGCTGTATGTCAATGAGATTGTTTTTGAGAGGGGTCCCCTGCCCACCTTATATAGTCTGGGGGTAGGGTTACAGATCTAGAAACTAATCCTAACCGGTTACAATTGCCATAGGTGGCCGGATAAGGATTTCTATTTTAACCAACCAGGATCTTGCTTGATCTCCAAGTTTGCCTTGATTCCTTGCGCGGGACTCCGAGCAGATCGGCTGGGCCGCGCGTCGTCTCCTGGTGGACCGAAACCCCTGGTCCGGGCCGGCCCAAACCTAGCCATAAGGGTATAGGGGTTAATACCCCCACAGCTAGTCCCCGAGCACCATGTATTATGTTGCGACACGCCGTTTGATCTTCTTCGGCTAATGCGGTCTGTCTTCATGTCATCTCCAACTGGTTGAAACATTGACCAAGCAAATGTGCGAAGATTTCGTCAAAACACTGAGAGAGCGATAAACCACGATTATAGAGCGAAGATTCCGGTTGTCCAAAGAATGCATGGTGCTCTAAAAAAAAAAAAAAAGATTTCTTTCACGATCAAGTGTGCCCACTTATATTTACGAAAAGAAATGTAAGTGACCCTTATCTGAGAGTAGTTATGGCCAATGATCGGAGCGTAGGGGGTCGATAAAATAAGCACATTCACCGCAAGGTGAAGTGTGCCCACTTAGTCCCTGAGCCTAGTAGTAGGTGACGTAGGCACGTGATGCCAGGGTCTAAAAAAGAATTTCCAGTTAAGTTGAGAATTCAATCGTCGTATAGGCAATACGAGCTGCACCGACAGGTGCATCGTACCGATGTAGTCCCCGAGCTTGCTGGAAGACGAGGTATCAGCCTTGTAGCAAGGTCTAAGTGAGAAAAAATAAATGGCTCTCAACTGTATGTGAGTACAAATCACATGTAGCTGAGGAGAGCAGTCCCCAAGCAATGGTCGGAGAGTGGTCGGGGCAGTCCCCGAGCGCAGCATGGGGAAAACGACGAATCCCCGAGAATAACCGTAGTCAGAACAGTCCCCGAGCATGAGAGCGGTCGAGACAGTCCCGAGCATGAGAGTGGTCGGAGCAGTCCCCGAGCACGATGGTGGTCAGGACAGTCCCCGAGCACAAGGAATGTGGCAAAAAACCATATGCCACTATTACTATTATTTTATGTATTTATTTGTTTATTTGTTCTGACAAGTCCGGTCTGACACGTCTGGTCAAAAAAGTAGACAGGTATAGCACGTCATCACGCTTTTTGTCTTGTTAAGCAAGCAGATTGCGTGGCACTGTCGATGGGTGCGCGGCGTGGGCCTCCCACCGACGACAACGAAGAGGCGCATTTATTGGCGTAGATCTGGCCGAGTAATATCTGCAAATGTGAAAAGCGACTGTCTGCGCGGCGCGTGCGCACGTCCCCAAGAATCCCGGGCGGGCGAACGGCGTAACTCTTGGGTTAAATACAGCATATGATAGATCAGTTACTATTTACCGAACCCCATTGCCATTCGCAACCGCAGCTTTCGTCTTCCTCTCGCCAACCAACCCTAACAGATTAGAAATCGCCACCGATCAATCCGCCGCCGCTTCGACTGCCGCCCCTGCTAATCCCCCGCTGCTGTTGAAGATCAGCACACTCCCCGTTCACCAACAAGGCCGGAGTCAGAGGCGGAAAACGAAAGGAAATGGCGAAAAGTGATGCGCAGAAGAAAACAGGGGTCATGGTGAAGGAATGGTGGAAGTCGAAAAGCAACGAGCAGACCATTGAAGACCTCGTCACCATGGGGGTACTCCACAACAAGGAGCTCACAGGATGGCGTGCGCCAGAGGGCGAGAGGTACCCCGATCCACAACCAGGTGAGATCATGGTGTTCGAGGATTTCTTTAAACGGGGGTTTGGAGTTCCGATGCATCCATTTCTTCAGGGGCTCTGTCTTTACTATGAGATTGGGATTTGCAATATGCATCCCAACTCGATCCTCCTTGTCGCCACTTTTATTCATCTGTGCGAAGCGTATGGCGGCTTCTAGCCCCATTTCGATTTTTTTCCGCCATCTTTTACTCTGCGGAAGAAAGGAAGCGGTGGTTCAAGATAGCCGGGGTGTATACCTCAACCTCGTGGACGGCATGAAAGCCCGATGCACCAGACCGCCCATGGAACACGCCGCTCGATGGTGGTACAAAAAATGGTTCTACATCCGCCAAGAGCCGAACACGATCACGCTGCAGGCGACGCGGGCTACATTAGGAGAAGAAGACGAGTGGTCGGAGAAGCCCGAGCACCGGGGCAGATCCCGAAATATTTGAAATGATCCGTGGAAAAAAGCTGGATGGTCCGAAGCGTAGGTCGGGAGTTTCATCACCGACGGGTCCAAATTTACCGCCAAAGGAGGGTACATCCGGCTATGAGTATCAAGGGAGCCTTGAGACCGACGAGGATGAGGCAGAGGGCGCTTGACAAAATCGAAGTCAAAGCTAGAATTGGCGAGCTATTTAACTTAGCAGATCCAAATTATGCCGATTGAGCGACATCGAGCATGCTTTCAAGCTTGCCCGACCTCCCCAAAGGTAACTTTCGTCTTGCAGCACTCCGTAGTCTTATATTGTGATAGGGTAAGTGAAAACTTACGTGTTCACTCCATTTTGTTACCCAGGTTAATGGTCGGGATAGAAGCGACAAGTGTTTGTGTCGCCACCCCGGAGTAGAGTGGCCACAAGGCTGATCCCACCACCGGACCATTGTGCCGAGATCGAGGACGAGGGCGTCGGCGGGCGGTGCTCGGAGAATGGAGAGGAGGCGGCGGCCAAAGTCGCTAGTAAGCGGCCACGCTGCCCCAAGCAATCGAAGAAGAGGACGATAACCACCACCGCTCACCGGAGGAGCGCTAAGTATCAATGAGCCTGAGGAGAACCCGGTCAGCAAGCGTCGGCAGGCGATTTTTGCTTGGCCGGACGATGACGCAGAGGAGGGAGAAGACGCAGACACCTTTCAACTTGTCCCTCGAAAAAGGAGGAAGCAACTGGAGTCAAAGGAGCAAGATGGGTCCTCCGCGCCGGTGGGACCCACATCGCCGACGGCGGTGAAGGATGTAGCCGGGTCGACATCGGGAGTACCTGGGCAAGGAACGCGACCGGTGACGGGAGCGACAAATCAACCGTGCACGCCACCGACCACTGCGACGCGAAGGACAAGTGGCGGAGGGGTCGAGCACCAAGGCCCAACGACGGTGCTGGATGTAGAGGGAGACCAGGGGTCATCCGCACAGCACGTGGAGCAAGTACAGCCGAAGAAACGCGCCTTCTCCACATCATTCCGTGCTTCTAACATGTAAGTATTTGTAATCTTGATATAAGTTAGCAGTTTGCATTTAATATGATTGCTTTCTGAACTTATCTCGGATGTACTAGCTCGGCGTCCACAGAAAGTCCGGACCAGCTAGCCGGAAGTGGCGTGGCGCCGCCAATAAGTACAGAGCAGACTACCCAGCAGCCGACCACCGAGAAAGTCATAGTAGAAGATCCGTCGGGGCCTCAAAGAAGCGAAACGATCGACACAGCGGTCCCGGCGGGTGGTCGAGGACCACCGAAGTCGAGCACGAAGTGCTCGGCGCTAAACCGGCTCATCTTTGCGATCTCGAATCCGCTGCAGATCATATTTGTTGCCAGGTTGTTCGCAAGTAGCAATGAAGTTGTCGATGAATGCTTGCTTGAGCTCTTGCCAAGAATCAAAGTAGATTGCCGGCAAGCTAACCTTGACCATTGGTGGCTGCGCATGGCCGGCGGCGATCGGGAAGTAATTAGACATGAGCGTGCTCGTCGACCATGGCTGATCCGCACGCTGGTTTCAGAGAGCATGACCCATAACTCGGGTTCTCCTTGCCGTCGTATACGGAGTTTTTCGAGCTTGAAGTTTTTGGCCACACGACTTGGCGAAGGTGAGAGTAAACTGCTTCAAACCCGGAGGGCCGTGGGTAGTATCATATTCCATACGGCGATAGCTTTCGTAGGATGCACGATCGTTGGCTCTTTGGTTGATGCGATCGCGCAGATCGCGTTCTCCGAGGGAATGGCGGAGATCGTTATTGCCATCACGGCGATCCCGATTGCCGCCCTGGTTGACCCTGCGACCGTGGTTATCACGGCGATTGTCGCGGTTTTCTCATCGATTATCATCCCGGTTGTAGCGGCGGTTGTCGTCCCGACCACCATCATGACCACCGTTTCCGCCTTGACGGTTGTCTGGTGGGACGTTGTTGCGCGAGCCACGTTGGTTGGGTGGCTGTGGGCAACTTGAATACTGACGACTGTGGCTTGATTCGACTGAGGTGGTCGGAGCATGAGCTTGGTTCACAATCTCTACGGTCTGGGCCATAGCAGCCGTCAGGTAGGCTTGCATATCATCATGAATTGCCTGGATTTCCGGGGTATTGGGCAGTCGTTGCATTGTCGCCATAGCAACAGCTACGTTGGCGCTTGGAGTCCTGAAGACCTGCTTTTCCCTACCCTATCAAAGGCATTGTTGAGATCGCATGGCTGGAGCCTTATGCGTCGTGCCTCCACTTCTACCTCGGCTTCGGCTTGTCTGCGATTAAACCGGTCAATATTGCGTGCTTCGCGTGCTAGTCTTTCTTGTTCTGTTTCGCCAACTACCGGGGGTTCGTCATTACTGACGACATTGATTAAGTCTCCTCGCCTTGGTGGGAAGGATAGGAATCGTGGAAACCCCGGGGGACGGTCTGGGATATCCAGATCGTAATCAACTTCTTCATCGTCGCGAAGCTGAAGCTCAGTGTGGATGGAGCCATTAGATGCGGTGCTGGACGAGGAGCTTGAGCCGCTGTCTTGAACTGTGTGGACCGATCCTTCTTGATACTCCTCAATCCGGACCATGTTGACGAAGTGGCGTGGCTTTGGCCGAGGTCGATGTATATTGTACGCATAGTTGGAAGCAGTGTTTCGCAGGCCGTAGGGCTGGGCCTGGTAATTCTCCATCAAGGCTTCGCACTCGGAGAGCCGAAGACCCGTTGTGGTGGCTGGTTGGCGACGAACGGAGCGCCCTTCAGGAGTAGACGTGACCACGAGATCCGTACTGAGTCGTGCAGGACGACTGGCCCGAGCTGGTCGGGTAGATCTGTTGTGGGTAGTGGCTATCTACTCGGTAGGTTGATTTTGAATCGAATCTACCAGAGCTAGGGTTTCAGCAAGCTTGGTGCCGACCCGATCGATAGAGTCGAGCAGGTCAGTGTTGTCAATCTGCCTCCCTTTATAGCGAGGAAGCGAACGACGGGTTGTCGGTGTGGCTGAAGACGACGCTGGTGTGGCCGGAGCCAGATCCAACGTGGTCGGAGCCGTAGCCGATGCTGGTGAAGCAGTGGTCGACGCAGATTGGATCTGCGCCTCCTCCGTGGTCATGGCGATGAAGTTGTCGGAGCCAGTGGTCCAGGTGATCTGGCCGATGGTGAACGTGAGGCCATTCGGCGTAGCCATGGAGCCGGGGATGATGACCATCTTGTTCGTTTGGAGAGCAGTACGCACACCCCCTACCTGGCGCGCCTCTGTCGACGAAATATGGTCGACAGTCTACCTAGGGGTATGCCCAAGGTCGTAAATTATCGGTAGACAGGTGCGCAAGCTATGAACAAGATGGTGACGCAAGACAGACACGAGGTTTTATCCAGGTTCGGCCGCCGTGAGGGCGTAATACCTACGTCCTGCGTCTGATTGTATTGCTGTATGTCAATGAGATTGTTTTTTAGAGGGGTCCCCTGCCCGCCTTATATAGTCTGGTGGGCAGGGTTACAGATCTGGAAACTAATCCTAACCGGTTACAATTGCCATAGGTGGCCGGATAAGGATTCCTATTCTAACCAATCAGGTTCTTGCTTGATCTCCAAGTCTGCCTTGATTCCTTGCGCGGGACTCCGAGCAGATCGGCTGGGCCGCGCGTCGTCTCCTGGTGGACCGAACCCCCTGGTCCGGGCCGGTCCAAACCTAGCCGTAAGGGTATAGGGGTTAATACCCCCACACCTTGCAACAACAAGAATCACACCAGAAATTACTAGGAAGCAACCAATGATTTGTCTGGCTGAATACGTTCTCCCTAAAAGCAGGGCAGAGAAGATAAGCTGCCACACCAAGAATGACTGCAGCAGACATACAAAGGAATATCTAAGTTCTCATATAATTATAGAACCATAACAGGTCTAAACACTAGTAATCAAATGAAATTCATAAGAGTAGGCATCAAAAAAAAAAGGGCGTACCCAGTGCAGAGAGCTCCCGCTCTGTGCGGGGTCTGGGGAAGGGTGTCAGTGGCAAGCCTTACCCTCGCTTGTGCAATGCAAGAAGACCGCGACTCGAACCCGGGACCTTCCGGTCACAGGCGGTAAGACTCTACCGCTTGCACCAGGCCCGCTCTTTGGTAGGCATCAACGAAAACCTCCCAAAATCTTAGGGTGACTACAGAAATACTGTTGCCTAAGTTGGCAACAGAAACTACAGCACAAATGGAAAATTTAATTTAGTAATAATTGAAATAACTCAGATCAAAGAACCATCATATATAACTGAACAGAGTTTAATAACGGATTGCAACAGAAACTAACCAAAGGGCATATATACCTGGGACAGTATAGGAATAGCAGGTCCTGGTAGCATAGCTGCAAGTTCAATAAACAACAGCCAATGAACGAATTTGAATTAGAACATATAGAACTGCATGAAACCAAACCATTTTGCCCCTTCTATTGTGATCAAGCAAGAAATGCAATTTAATCTGTAGAAATCAATCACATCATTCTCAGAGTGAGCGTGAACAAAACTACCTCCAGCAGACATGCCAGAAGCGACTCCAAGTGCCTCCAGCAAACCGATCGCGACGAACCGGTGCTTGGGGAGCCCCAGCATGTCTCTAGTCACCACCCCCGAGCGGCACCTCGCGTAGAGTATGGAGAAGTACACGGCGACGTATCTGCACGCGCAAACAACGACGAACCGTGATTCAGGATCCAAAGAAACTAGCTGGCACGTCAAGCGCAACGAAAATTGTTTTCTCCGCATTTCGTCGAACAACAAGCTCGCGGCCGGCTGGGACAGCAGCGGAAGAAGGGGTACGCCTTGAGCTTACTTACCTGAAGGTGGTGAGCTGGGCGAGGAAGAAGGGGTACGCCTTGAGCGGCACGAGCGCGAGCTTGTAGAGGACGCGGTTGGCGACGGCCAGCGCCAACACGGCCGCCGACGCCGCGGCGGTGGTCACCGACGAGGAGCTCATCGCACACGACAGGGTTGCACCACCAAGCTATTCAGTTGATCGACGGAGCGTTGGGCTGGGATGGGGCAAGGTCTCGAGAGGAGGAAGAATACTGAAATGGAATCGCCGGCTGGGAACCGAGCATGGAAATTGGAAAACCATGGGACGGCGGCGGCGGTGTTGGCGGCCGCCGCGTGGATTGCTTGTGTCGGGGTGCGGCAATCAAACGCCTTTGCTTTTACGATTAGACCCCTGGACTCTAGCAGTTTTGCCTTTTTTTAAAATGGTACTGTATGGTGCACATTTTTGTCTTTGGTCGCCACATGTTGTCTATCAAAAGTTAAGGTCGCATGGAAGGAGTTTGAGCCGAATTTCCTTACCAAATAATCAAAACATCCGTGACGCTGAAATTGATTGACGGTGAAAATAAAGAATATTATTGAAAAAGAGATAGAAAAACATGAAAAAATATCTAAGGTATGGCCAATCTCTTTTTATATACCTTTTCAGATAAAGACCAACCGATTAGGTCTCATTTGGTTCCAAAATGATTTTAAGAACCTGGATTTAAAAAATCTAATGTTTTATTAGATTCTGTGTCGGTATCTTAAAATGTACTTTAATATAATCTATTTAGATAGGATTTTAAAACTACGAGATCTTTTTATGTAGATTATCGTCCCTTACTTTTCGTTTGAAGAGACGGGGGACGACAGGGAAACATTTCCCATCCTTGCCACCTAGGGAACTAGACCCACACAGGGGCGCTATCCTAGGCTAAGTAAAATCGATCTTTGGTTCGGACAAATGTTTGAAACATTCCAAGCCGATCCACCAATAAATGAAGCAACACCATTCTAGGCTGTGAACGTTCGCATTGCTCTCGCCGTGCAGAAGGCAATGTGGCCGCCACAGCTGCTTCTCCCTTCCTGGGTGCTGATGGTCGATGCAGATCAGCAAGTGTGCCCCTCCATCTCCTCCGCCTCATATTAGGGGCTTGCATGGGTGTTTAGAGCTAGTGCAAGTAGTGCTATTAGGTCTCGCTATTTTACTAATCGCCCTTGTACAAATGTTTGTGAATTTTGTAGAGAATTTTTATACACTATTCATCCTCTCTCTAGCCATCTAGATCTTTTCAAGTAGTATCAGAGCTAAGTCACTGTCAATTTGCAGGGCTTAACAACCTACGATGTAAAAGATGGCAACAAATCACATTGGCAAGTGATGGGGACAGGTTTCCCAATCTTTCACCCGGTGATGACAACTCTCGTTTTGGTAGAACGTGACATACCGATCCGGCTTCAGATCAAAAGACCCAAACCCTGCAACCTTAGCACCACGATTCCTCTGGTTATCAACCCTGTCACTAATCTGGTTGACCTCACCAAGAAGACTAATCCTTGCCTGCAAAATGGAGAACACAAGCAAGAACTCTAAAGAAGCAACTCAATTGAAGTGACAAATTGCAGATGTATTCTCAAGCACTCGAAGTTGGGGTTCACAACAGAAATGACGATTGTTCGAAGACAGATTGATCTAAAGTAAAACTCAAAACCTAACATGGGCGGCGGTTACTATATATAGTCTAACGATTATTCAAGGACCCTATTCACATCCCAAGGGAGTCCCAACACGTTACAAGGTCCAATGGCCCAAAAGACGGCGGTGCAGCACTATGACAGATTTTGGACATCAACTTTTTTCGACGATTCTTGTTGATTCTGAAATAATTTTTGTGTGGGACCAGTTTCATTAGTTATCAAATTATCTTTCTATCCATATGTGGATCGTCAAAAACAGAGTCAATATACGACCTGGACGTCCATTTTAGTGCAAGGTGCTTCTAGAGTCCGAGATGGACTTGAATTTGATAAAGATTGGGCCTCCAACTTAGCTTGGGCATCCTTGCTGGTCTTCTAAAGTGGTGGCCAAGTAGGAGGAAGTCCAAGGGCTTCCTTGGTGTGTAATCCATCTCCTTAGGAGCGTGCTGCGACTTGGGCCAAGGTCACAAGGGTGAATATCATGCCCATGACGACGACACAACTCACGACAGAAACAATGGCAACTTGTCATGATGGTTTGGAGTCCTTTCCAACGTGATCTTGAGGTCAAACTAGGTGCATTTGAAAGCTTATCAAATAAGCTTTCCATCAAGTGCTCATGAACCCCAAACTCACTCGGGATGAAGGAGTTATGACCTTCCCCATGAAGTATTGTTGGGCTGCTGATGAACCGAATGTTGTGCTTTGATGGTCTTGTACCCCAAGATGGGTCTTGAGCATTTGTATCCATGTCCCATCTATTGTATAGGCCATAGAAAGCGTCTTTTCCAAGTTTACATCATCATCATCTATGTTCCTAAGTATATTGAACGCAACAACATTAGGTAGCAACAAATTCTTATATTGTTTTGCAAACATAGGTACGAGCTCTCATCTTTAACTTTCATGGTCATATCCATAGGTGCCTTGTCCTCATCAGCAAGCCACCACACTTTGATGGCACAAACTACGATTATTGGAAGAGAAGAATGTGTCTCCATCTCAAGGCAACGGGAGAGAAAGATTTGGGGAGTTTGTAGAGGAGTTTGTGGTGCTTGATATGAAGGATCCAACACCAAGACAAGAAGAGAAGCTACAACTCAATGATCAAGCCATCAATGCTTTCTATGAGGCAATGGACCCTAGGTAGTATCTATGTTATACTTTCATGAGAGATCAAATAAAAAAATCATAGTAATAGTAAAAAAACAAATTTATAGTTAAACAACATAAAAGTCGTGAATCTCACTTACATAGAGTTCACTAGAATAATAAACATAGCTCACTAGTGATAATACATTATAGATTCATAATTTAGTGCCATACTTATACAAATAATAATACAAACCAAAGAACTAAAGTAACAACCAATGGCTTAAACATCCACTTATTCATCTATCCACAATAAATATCATCCTCAAAGTTTGGTGTTCACGTGTCATGCTAATGAATCAATGATGGCAGATTGAATATATCATATACTAACAACAAACAAAAAAAGAATTCGGCTAGACCAAATTAAATGGAGTAGTTGACATGGTATACAATATACTCCTATATGCATATGTATTTCGAAATTGCAACTATCCATTGGGTATCCATGGATAAAGTTTCATACCCGCACCTTTGTGGATACTCGACCCTCCTATACCCATGGATGAGTTTTTCTACTTGTCCCCGCACCTATTAGGAACTTCAAACCAACTAATGGAACTAATAGTTAGTAGCCTCCTAATTAATATTTAGCAAGTCTACTTAGATCTACTATTACTAATTTTAGTTGCTAATAATTTTTAGTGCTAATGGATCTAAACAGACCTTAATTAGATACAACCATATCGAAGGTCATGGCAACATAATCAAAGAAATAGAAGATGTAGGAGTATATCTGCACCTACTCTATATCCTCGCCGTTACCTTTGTTGCCTAAACAAGCAACATCTTGAGTCCAAGTCATAACTCACAAGTGCTAAAGGAGATCCGGTTTTGCGTAAACCGGGGATGACATGGCTGTAGTGATTGGCAAATTCCGTTGCCCTAAGGTGTGCCTGCAAGGTCCGCTACGCCTCCTGTACCTGGCCCAGCCTTCTTAGACTACCTATAGTATGTGTTTGAACGATGCTTCAAACCTCTTTTTTCGTTTGAGCCTCGATGCTCGCACACTGAAGATGGAATTGAAGGATCGGAAAATCCAACATCAAGGAAAGTTCATGCATCGATGCCTGTCTTAGGAGAAAAACGTGGCCCCACTTATAGGTGACTTGAGGAGATGAGACCCTGGTACTAGATGAGTGAGTTAATTGCTGTTCTGTTATGCTCTCTCCAATTATATTAACTTTTATCACTATACCACAGCCCAGATTCAGCGTCGGTCGGTGGGTCGTTATAAGCCGTTTCAGCATTTTATGGTCGGTCGTTATAAACTTATAACGACACATATATGAGTCGTTGATACTGGCGACGTTAAAAACTTTTAACGTCGGACCGACTTTTAACGTCGGACCGTCTAACGATATGCAAAAGATATAACGACAGATCTTCTGACGTGGTTTATAAACTTATAACGACGCACCGCATGATGATATATATTTATAGCGACCCTTTGTCCATCACTATGCATACAAATAATTAACATATAATATTATGTGCTACTGTTTATATTTTAATCATACAATCAACAGTAGCATCTCATACATTCAAATAACCTTTGTCATGAAACACATAAGCTAGACCAGAAAGAGCTCACAAGTTATATTAAATCCATCATAATTTGTCATGCCATTTTACACACAATTCATGGCAAACAAAAGCTAAGATGAAACAAGTTTGGCCAAAATGGTAGGCGTACTAGAGATACGGTTCCACAACCCATATATCATAGTTTGCTTCCACACTTTACAAAATGATCCACCTCTAGTAAGTCCAAACAAATGTTTTCATCTATAGCTAGGATGTTCAAAACACGTCATCATGAGCACTTTGATCCAATCGGTGGCTGCACTCTACTTCCAGCTATTTCCTCCCACCACTGTAAATAAAAGTTGAAATTCATAAAGAAAACTCAACCAAAAACTTAATAAAGGCACCCGATCAATTTGGAGGCACAAGCACCCAACACAAGGCAAAGAAGCAAAGCACAATTGGTATTCATGGAATGAAAATTCATTTATGATGCATATTAATTTCAGATTTCATTTCAGACCACCAGACAATACATTGACTATGGTTTCAACCTAGCAGGCACTATGCACTGACCACAACATGGAGGGATCACATCTACTCGGGCATACAAAGAGGATCACATCTACTAAATAAAGGAATTGTTCTTCGGAATTTAGAATTTCTGAAAATATTTAGATAAATAATAGCAGTTCTCCATATGACTCTTCTACAACATGGCAGCAATAGTTGTTTCTATAGAAATTGGTTTAGGTTATCACAGACCATCTGAAAATCAGCAAGATGCACACATAAAAGAAACATCGAAGCACCATTGCATGTTGGTTAGATCATGTCGGCATGCTTGGAAGGGCACCAGTCACCAAGCACTAACATGTAGGAGGTACAACTATACTCTAGTTTTCCATTCACACAATCAGCATGCTTGCTAGATCATGTCATTTTGGGCAAAGTTTCAGATTGCTAGATCATGTCATTTTCATTTTCATATGTACAAAGGTTCATAGTTTCATGCAAGATGTATGATCTCCTAAATGACATGTAGATGGAAAAATTCAGAATAGCACACCTGTTCCATGGGATGATTTTTTAGTCTTGCTTGACCTTGAGCTGTTAGAAATATCAACAATTAGAAAATCTGGGCACTCATTACATATGAAAACGACAAACAATGACAAGTGTTGTTTGTTACCTGTTATATGGCCATGCAATTCACAGGTCCTTAGCATCGACCATGTCTTGCACACCGGGATATGGACGAGGTACCTTTGCTTCCCTTTTCATCACATACCCGATAACAACTTCACAGTGTTTCCTTCCAAGAGTGTGGCCTGCACACATGGTGCTAGGATTTCTTGAAATAACTATTCCCTTGGCCACAGGTTCATCTCTTTGGAGTGCATATAGTATAACTTCGTTGCCACACCTGAAACAAACAATGTACTTATGAGAATTGTATTCATTAAAAATCACCATTGGACTATAAGCAAAAAAAATGAAAAACAATGAGAACATTACAAGGTCAAGACATGTGAGATGCGATTTGCATCACCATTCCTTGATGGGGCTGCACCGTCGTCGTGGCTAGGCTGAGGGGACTAGACAAGCTGGGGCTGTAGGAATGGGGTTAGACCGAGGTGGCTGAACGATGTGGCTGTAGGAATGGGGCTAGAGTGAGGCGCTGCATAAATGAGGCTGCAGGAAAGGTGTTGGGCTGCACAAATGGGGAGCCGCTTTCGATCGGTGGAAATTCTTTGGATCTGGTGAGGCTAAGTTGGTCCCACGCACAAGCACATATTCATACTCATTAGAGTTATCTGCATAGGCACCATCTTCAAGAAATTCAGGAGCATGATTTGTCGGACATAATTTTTTCTTGAGATCTTGGGCTCTGTAAGCAAAAAAGTGGGATGTTAGAGCCATTCTGGGACAACATAAGAACTTAGGAAAAAACTTCTGTGACATATTAAGCAAGTCAACTTATCTGAATCATATAAACTCTCCTAGTAACAAAAGAGTTCATGTGGTTAATTACAATCAACAACTGCCATGCTCAGGCCACGCAAAGTAGTACAGATTTATCAGACCATCCTCCAAGAAGTTTGGTGTGTAGTAATCTAATAAGAAATCGGAGTTGGGTATATTTCTTGCAACTAGGGAACAGTTCTTTGCTATTTTCTTCGACCAACTTTTGAATAGCAACTAGGTCCTCACAAGGATCTAGATCAGGACTGTTGTCCTCAAAATCACCTCTATCGTCTAAGCCACCAGCTAAGTCCCTAAGCAAACCAGAGATATCATCATCTTCATCAGACTCATCCATAACCTCAACACCATCACCATCACTGTCACAGTTCCCATGGTTCACAGAAGGGGTGGGTTCTCCATGTAAATTCCATGTTCTGTACCCTTTTAGAAACCCATCACATATTAAGTGTTCGCGGATTTCACTAGCCTCTTTCCAGAAAGAGTTGGAACACTTTCTACAAGGACAAAGTATCTTGCTACCAACAATTTGCATTACTAAATGCAAAAGCTAAGAAACAGTTCACCCCCGCAAATATGCCTTGCCATGCCTACATAAAAGTTTTATGTTAAATGCCCACTCTTGCTATGTATACCGCTTTCCGTATTTGCTATATTCTTTGTATTTACCTAGCATCATCATCAATCCAGATTTATCCATCAACCTTTATTAGGGACAACTAGAAGTGTCGACCGAACAAGCTGCATCGAATTCAACACATTGTGCATATATATCATCAATTGCATCCAACATAACAAGCACGGGTAAGACCAGCAGCAACAATGGTAGTGAAGTGGTAGAGAGCACTTTACCGATACTCCTGAGTCAAATTCACGAGCTGGCTCCTACTACTTGGTGACAAGGCGCTGTAGATGCTACGGCTTTTGTTAGGGCAAAGGTCCAAGGAGCAACTTATTCTTGTACGCCTCAGTCAACCACGAATATAACCTGCTGGATAAAGGAAACCACAGATCCATGAATTAGCGAGTAATTAGGAAGGGAAGTATGTCAACAGCTGTGGTATAGAGGGGGCTGGACAATGACCAAACATAAATAACATAGTATATTAATCTTAGTATATATAGGGATCAACTATATATTTAATATACTGAGTTTGTATGATATAAAAAGTACTATTTTTTTTGACTAGTCAGGGTCATTTAATTTGTCCTTGATGGCTTTCTTCCTTCAAAAAAAAAAAATTGAAATGGCTCTCTTTTAGGTATTAGGATCATCCTTCAAAAAATAAATAAAAAAGCATAAGCTACAGCATACTAGCATACTAGCTACAGCATATAAGCTACAGCATACTGCTGGACTAGGCAATTATAGTATGCATCGATCAGCTGAAGCTTACAAAAGCACAAATTATAGACTATAAAAATCTAGTGCTGAACTTGGGAGGGGCCGTGGCCACTGCTGGCCCCCTTGCCTCCGCCAGTGTGCAGAGGAGCATGCAATCTTGGCCGCAATGGCCTGAGAGCCGGAGCTGCAGAGTCCGAAGAGATCCTACATTCTCATGAACCTGATTAGTGAAGTAGTACTAGCAGCTAGCAAATCAGATGGCTTTGGAGGCCCTCTTGGGATCTACCGAATACAACAACAGCAAATACAAGTGCAGACGGAGATGCCATACAAGTGCAGATGGAGATGGCGGCTCCCTTCTTTGGATCTCTGGCAGAGGAAGAGCGAGGCGGGGGGAGATCACTGCGGGCGGCAGTCAGAGGACAGGAACACAGAGGGGTAGGGGTGTGGGTGCAGAGGAACCCGGTGGGGCTGAGGTGGGCGGAGGGAATGGCGAGCTACCGAGACGACGCCGAGCTGAGGTCGCCCGGCCGAGCTGTGGTCGCCGGTGGGGGAATGAGGCGAGAGCTGAGGTCGCCGCCGGGAGGGGCCGAGCTGAGCTCTCGCCGCCCCAGACTGACCGCATGAGAGGAGATTTAGGGGCACCGTTGAGAGGGCGGTGGCGTGTGGCCGCCGCCGGCAATGAGCAGGCCGCCGCTCGTGTGGCGTGTGTGTATGACGCTATTTTTTTTTCTTCGATTGGCTTCGGGTGGCGGCGTGGTGTGCGTCAGGGGAGAGGAGTGCGGTGGATTTTGGGGTTCCTGCTCTGAGTGCCCAGCAGGCGGGAGATAGAAAATGGGCTGACCCATTGGCGGGCTTTGATTTTTTTTTTCTGTCATGTGGGCTATGTTAAAAGGTTAGGCGGGAAGTGGGCTAATCCAGTGCGCGAGTGGAGTCCATCTGTGGCGACGACCGGTGGGTCGTTAAAAGAACGATATAACGACCGACCATCCGACGTTGAATCGAAATAGAATTAACGTCCGACGACCTGTAGTCAAAATGAGATATAACGACCTACCGTCCGTTACAAATCATTAACGTCTAACTTTCCGACGTTAAATCGACATTTTTAACGACCCCCAACTGACGTTGATTTTGGGCTGTGGTGTAGTGTATCAATGGTATAAGATAATTCTTCAGAAAGCTATGACATCGGGGTTTCAGTTCTTGGTTGGAAGCTTTGTAGAGAATAAAAAGGTAACCTACTATATATATATATATGCCTATGGTACTTAACAAGATACATAAAAAATATACAATCTTGAATAATTAATTTGTATTAGTTAGACATTAAACAATAATAACTGGCCGGTGCGATAACACGAGTTGATGACGAGTAGATATAATTTATGTAACAATACTGTCGTTCAATCCCAGCATGCAATCTACTTGAAACGTACTGCTTTCTTCATTTCTACTTGAAATGTACTGCTTTTTTCATTTCAAATTATAAGACATTTTAGGTACATTTAGATACTCCCTCCGTCCAGCAAAGAATGCAATTCAAACACAGTATCATGGTTTTTGTATCTTAAGTTCGATCAATTATAGATAAAAAAGTATTAATATTTATGATATCAAATAAATATCATTAGATTTATTACGAAATATATTTTTATAATAAATTATTTTGGAGCCGTAAATATGAATAGTATTTGCTAGAAATTTAGTCAAACGTGAACTATTTTTACTAGCACGTAACACGTAGTTGCATTCTTTTCTGAACGGAGGGAGTATATAATAAAAGTAATACAGTATATCTAGAAAAATCAAAACATCTTATAGATGAGAGGCATTGACAGATGCAAGAATATTCTTTTGCTTCTTTTTTTGGGAAATTAAAAATATAGTATTATTTATTTATTTTATAATAAGGATATAAATGTATAGATTTGCTATATCACGCCCTGCCGATTAGTTGTCACCATACCTTAAGTTCGAGATATATTTCTTGGATCCGCAAGTTAAGGTTTATATATGCAAATCTTCCTTATAAAATAAAATGAACCCTCAGGCGTCAAGGAAAGCGATAGGCATTAGCAAGAGCCTGAGGGTACGGTGTTGTACACAATCTGGTAGCCGCCATGACGATGCCGAAGCAGATCGCCCACAACGCCCACAGGGAGCACCCCCTGGTTCTCCATCACACCAGCAGTTTCGGCTTCCGCTGCAATGGCTGTGGCTGTGACGGCTTCGGCCTCAGCTACCGCTGCGGCGAGTGCGACTTCGACCTCCACGAGCACTGCGCGACGTGCCCGCCCACCGCGTCCGTCCCTTTCCACGCGCAGCACGCGGTGGAGTTTGAGGCTGAGGCCGCCATGTTCCCCGAGACGAACCCGCGCAGCTGCGACCTCTGCGGCGCGTCCATCGGGGGCATGCACTACTTCTGCCGCCCTTGCGGCTTCGTCGTGCACCCTGTCTGCGCCCAGCTTCCTGTCACCGCCGTCTCGCCTCTGCACCACCCGGCGCACTTTGTCACGCTCACCGTGTCGGCGCCCCGGAAGTGCACTCGCTGCGGCGTTGACTGCTTGTTGTGGCGCTACCGATGCATCCCCTGCGGAGTCGACTTGCATCCAAGGTGCTTGCTGGGCAACTCCCACAAGACTTCCCTCAGAATTCCTAGAGGATAGAGGGTGGAGACAACAATTAGCTTGGTCTGTCTTTGCGCGCTGCCTAAATAAGATCAGATCTCTTCATCGCGTGGGTCTTCGACTTGGATATGGACCGTCACAGCACTTCTTCCGTTAAATAAGTGTCTTTCGTTTCCGTGTCTTTGTGTCATATATATGGGACAATTTTAATTATAGTACTTCTTTTACTTTATTTAGGATTTATCTAGATGTACTCAATCCAAACATGTGTCGAATTAAGTGGATCAGAGAAAAGTTGAACTAAGTACTAGACCAATCTACTCCAACACAACACACATGTATTACAATGGATATGAGTTCATCTAAATGAGACATTATGGGTGTTAATCCATCTCATGTCTTCTTCTAGCTAGGTGTTTTTCCCCCTCTTATATGAAGGAATTTTAATAAAACCACTATTGTTGTTGTTGTTGTTGTTAGGGGTACAGTTGCACCATCTAATCTATACCTTATTAATAAAGAGGTAAAATTTTCACCATTTTTTTGTCTGGACGTTTTTGGTCTGGCCTATTTATTGGCCCGGGCCACCCCTCCTCCCGTATGTAGAGTCAGAGACCAACACGGGTGATTTCACTTCTAGGTAAGCCTGGTCAGAGAGTTGGAGACCGACACGAGTGAAGGAGTTTTCCAAATCGGAGGAGCTGGAGTCCCGATCCGACCACAACACGGCATCTACATAGTCCAGATCTTAATCACCCCGCTCCCGGCCCTCCGTCATGTCGAGTCCGCGTCGAGGCATCTGCAGAGAGTCCGACAGCAGCCCCAAGAGGCGGGTGTGCGGCCAGCCGAGATGCATGTCGTGGGATAAGGCTTGGCTTCTTTTCTGTTTCTTCTTTATTGTTTTTCCTTTGGTTCCGAGTTCTAAATTTTTATTTTTCTGGCTTGTCCGGTTCTTTTTTTTTTTCTTATTCAACGCTAAGAACAGATCTCCTAATATTAAGATCCAAATATTTCTTTAAGACTTCCTTTTTTACTTCCTAAGCTGCCATTCTATTATCCGGCTCTTTTACTTTTCAAAAAACTATCCTTAGAGCAACTCCAAAAGCATAGGTAAATTTGGATAGGTAAACCGTCTCTCCAAAACAATTTGGCTTGTCAAAGTATGAAAGTTCTGTAGCAGCTTTTCTAAAACCAGCTCGCTATTTGGGCCTACGTTGAAGTACAACGGCATCACTTTGGAGCACACCGTCGAACACCTTCATGGCATGCCTTACTTCTCGTCGAAGCGTCATGCCTCACTGCCAGCCGCCGCCGCAGTGTGCTTGTGCGGGTCGAGCATGAGCAGATCGATGACGTTTGTGTTCGCGACGGCGATAGCTCCATGTTTGCGACGCCATCTGCCTCCAGATTCTCTACGCCACTACGGACGAGATGGCCGGCCGTCGAGCACCTCGTCACAGACCATCTTCCAAAGCCTGAGGCCTGAGCTAAAACGTTGCGGAAGCACCAGAGCTCCACTCGAACATGTGCACTTCCTTGGGACCGTGTTGCTTGGCGGCAGCTGATGTAGTACGCACTGCTTGTTCCTCGAAGCTCGACGTGGCCACGGAGTCGATTGTGGGGTGCAAAGAAAAGAGATTCGCCGCCTTGACATGCGCACGGGCGCGCTATGCAGTAGCGCGGCGCCGGCGGCACAGAGATGAAGTCGGCATGTACGAAGCTGGA